AAATTGCCAATGTAAAAATATCACGAACCCGTCTCCCCTTTTGACCCTTCATTAAATAGAGCATCTTTTTCTTAAGTCGTTTATTGGAACGAATCCAGAATATAGGAGGAAAAAAATCTTTACTCCATATGTATTTGACAGATTTCAATGAAATTTGGTATCCAGGGGTTTTCGTTTTCAATGATTTCGAAATTGATATCAAATTTTTAAAATTCAAAATGGCGTATACAATATGGCGGAAAATATCTTAAAAAATGTATAGATTGTTATGACGCTTGGTATCCAGAGATTTTCGTCGCCACTGGTTTCGAAACTGATATCAAATCTTCGGATCCAATATGGCGGACCACTTTTTTTTTAAATAATAGTTTGTTATGAAACTACAGAGATCCTCAAATTAAATTTTCAAAATTCAAAATGGGTTCAAATGTTGATAATGGCAATGACACTGCGTTGAAAGTAAAACGCCTATTGTTCGGGACGCCATATTTGATCCGCCATTTTGAATTTTTGAGAATATAATATCAATTTCGAAATAAGTGACAACGAAAAGCTCTGGATACCAAGCTTCATAACAATCTACACATTTTTTTTTTAAATCGTCCGCCATATTGGATCCGCCATTTTGAATTTTTGAAACTTAATTTAATATTCGAATTCAGTGATGACGAAAATCCCTAATTACCAAATTGCATTAAAATCTGCCAAAAACATATGGAGTAAATACCAAGCTTCATAAAAATGTATACATTTTTGAAGAAATCGTCCGCCATATTGGATGCGCCACTTTGATTTTTGAAAATTGAATATGAATTTCGAAATCAGCGACGACGATAATCTCTGGATACCAAGCTTAATAACAATATACACATTTTTGAAGAAATCATCCGCCATATTGGATCCGCCATTGTGAATTTTGGAAATTTAATTTAATATTCGAAATCAGTGATGACGAAATACCAAATTTCATTGAAATCTGTCAAATACATATGAAGTAAACATTTTTGTCGTCCTATATTGTCGATTCTTCCTTATGTGTTCTCAAGAAAAAAATGTTAGGATATTTATTTCTTCAAGAAAATTTTTAGCAAACGAAAGGTACTTTTGCAACCAACAGAAATAACGAAAAATATTTCTTGGGATTTTTCTTGAGAGCTGCAAACAGCCCTAAACCTAAGCTTCAAATTTTGTAAAACACTGAAAAAATGCATCAAATTTTGATAAAAATTTCAAACTTCTTTCTCAGAAGTGTTTATAGCCCATTCAATTTTAGTGTAATAATGTGCAAGTTTCAAGTGGCCCACGGTGCCCAAAAATGTTGGTTACTTAAGCGGGTTTGGGGAAAAAAGGGGGGGAGGGGGGTTAGCGGGTTTTACTGTATTTGTATTTTTATTGCGGTGCAATAATTCCTTTTTGAGAAGTGCATCCGGGCTGCAAATGTCGGATGTATCCTCCAAGATCGTTATTTAAACACCGTTGTTTTCGACAGAATTCTTCATTCTCATTCTTTTGGTTGTTTCAAAATTTGGATAACCTGTAACGTCATTAACGTTTTTTGGTTTTAGTTTTTGTAACTCGTTTTTAATCCTTTCTTCTGTGTCTGGTTTAAAAAATGTGTGCTTATAGCGAGGTTCTAAGTAGTTGGATATAGCAAATACATTGTTATTTTCTAGGAATGAAAATTTCAAAGAACATTCTGTTTGAAAGTCGTGGCTGCCAGCCGGAGTAGTTTAAAATCTTGTTATTTTGTTGTCTGCTTAGTTCTGTGATCTGCTTAGTTCCTCTGAAAAGTTTCACCTGCAATGAATAGCTTGTAATTAGTTTTTTTTTTATTAGCAGCGCTCGACTTTTCCTAGTTGCAGGCAGTCAAATTAATTACTCATCGCCTTTTTCACCTTCTTCACTTAATTGTTAGTTTGTTGCTCTTTGTGGTAAATTATCGTTGCGCTTATGACGTCACACCAAAGAAGCTGGCTGTCAAACTCAAACCAAAAAAGATAGCGGAACATTGAGGGCGCAATCTTATTTTCTATCATTCTGCATAAGCTTAAATTTATTACCAAACCTCTCTTAAATCACTCTGAATTTAGAAATGTTCTTATAGGAATACGTATTAAATAATGGGAGTAGGGTGGCCAGATATTATAGGGACATAATCAGTACAGTTGGGATCAAAAATCAGTTCAAAGCCATAAAACTCAGCTCATTTTTAAGCGTATTTTTTTTTATTAACAATATAGCAACCAAATAACAGCGCATTAATTAAAAAAAAAATAACTAATAGACTTTTAAATACGTATCGTCACTACACACGAATAAAGGCGCGATAGCGTTTTGAAGGCGAAAAAAGGCGCGTAAAAAAATTTGCCAAAAAAGATGCTTATGAAAAACTTCGGCGAAGTGTGTTAAGAGTTTTTGACTCTAAAGTTTTTTATGCGTCTTTTTTCGCCGTCAACTTTTGAGCTCGCGCCTTTATTCGTGTCCAGTGACGGTATAGTATTATCAATACAAAAATTCATTACTTTAAAACAAATCAATGGTATTACGTATGTATGTACAGCTGTGCTCAGGAAAATAGTAGTAAAATGTATTTACAGGTTTTGAAAATTTTTTCTTTCCTTACTTAATTAAATTTTTGTATAAAAATATAGTTAATTCTATAACAAAAGACATGTAAGTTGAAGTCTCAAACTTTCTAGAAAATGTATAGGAATTGAAAAAATAAAAATAAAATTTTAGCTAATTCAGTTTCAGTAGAAGACGAGCTCGAGTCAGAATCTGTTTGCATATTTTAAGCTACAAATTGAAAACATATTTAGTTGGTGTGCTTATTAAATACAACATTCACATTAAAATGTTGACTAAAATGTATACTACCGAATTATCGCTAAACGAATTTTCGAGTACGAATGAAATTTAATAGTGTTAAATGTGTATGTGCAAGTAAAATTATAGGTGGTCGAACATCAAAACTCAAATATAAGCTACATATATCATATCCAAGCGTCGGTAGTTTGCACCTTTTCCAAATTTTTAGAACTTACATTGCACCGTAGCAGTAATCGTCTTAAGTTTGAAATACTGACAGCCGATTTCTCAGTGGATGCTTAATTATAATCAAAATATGATCTCTTATTGTCATCTTCTGAGTGTACTTAATATATGATTAACACCTTTCATAAGATTTATTAATGGCGAAACAAGCTTTTCCTGTAAATCCTGTAAAACCTGTAAATCGTGAAGTTGGGTTGGGTTGAATCCAAACATTTTCTTATTTTGCGAATTCCTAGGAAATGAAACAATTGCAAGCTGACACCTTTTTAATAATGGTTTAAATTTAATTAACGCTTTCAATCTGCTCACACGTATGAGTTGTCAAAACCATTGTTTTGAACATGTAAACCTCAAGTAAATGTCAATTACACCAATTTACAGAAGTATTAAATGTAAAAATCAGTACAAACTCAAAAAATCAGTAGATTTTGCGTACTGATTTCGGGCTCTTAAAAATCAGTACAATAGAAAAAAAATCAGGCACATGTACTGATTAAATCAGCGCATCTGGCATCTGGGAAAGTGTACCTCAGTGCAAAAATTATTTTCTTTATAAAACTAACAAATGTGTGGATAAGACATTTGTAAAAATTTTAAACCAACCAATAAAATAAAGCTTTAAATGCACTTTTATTACTTTTTTTACGTTTTGAAAGTACGTTCTAAGTAAATTTTTTGATTGAGTTCAAAGTAGGTTGTGTTGAATGCACTGTCAAATAATTTGGGATTCATAATTCAAGTGTTTGGTAAGAAAAATATATGGTAGAACTCATCTGCTTTTAATAAGATTGTGTCACTGCTTTATCTATATTTGAGATATTATTAAGCAGAATTGGTATTGTCTCACTCTTGACAAAAAAGCTAAAAGTTGTTATATTTAATTACAGAAGTTGAGGTTGTGTTTCGTGTTTGTTACATAATTTTAGAAATTCATTGCAAATATTTACCACAATTGCATTGTCGTTTCCACGTAGTTAGATAAGAATAATTCAACAAAGAAGCATGTCCCACCCGTGACAGCTATGTGTGGGACAGTTGTCAGGGGTAGGTTTACAGGGCTGGTAAGCTTTTGTTTGTTGAGGTATACGCAGGGGCGGAGGGGGGATGCGCGGACTCGTCCATTATCTATATACCTTTGTGGTCAGCTGATTAAATTAAGTTACATTTTGACCAGTTATGATTCTTTACTTTGTTAATCTAATGTTTATAGTTTTATTTTTATATAAGTCTAGCACATTACCCAATCAGAACCACATAAATCCACATTTCAAACTTCTTACAAAAATTATAAAAATTCAGCAAACTTTAACAATTACACCCAAAAATTTTAAACTTTTTGTTCAGAATTTTTAGGTATGCAGTTTTTTAGTCCATTAAATTTAAGTAGGTAAAAGTGAAAATATCAAGACGCCAGGAGAACGCGTCCATTTTAATAATTTTGGCTGACGGTGCTAAGCATTTTCTTCTATATAAAAGGCACCATCCTCAGGGAGTCTTAACATATAATAACATAAAATCACATTAATTATTTTATGGGCATCACATTTTTAAATTAACACTTAACATTTAAATACATCAATACTTTATCCCGCGCAGCGATAATAGCGAGTAATAGACGAACAGCTGGGATAAAGTATTGATGTATTTAAATGTTAAGTGTTAATTTAAAAATGTGATGTCCATAAAATAATTAATGTGATTTTATGTTATTATATGTTAAGACTCCCTGAGGAAGACACAATAATGTGTCGAAACGCGTAGGAGGCAGAAAAGAAAAACCAACGTTTTTGCTTTAAAATAAACGGCCGAAAAGCTCCAAATATACAAATCGTAACAATTTATATACATTGGCCCTATTTAAAAACTAGAACGAAAATTTTATCTGTACAAATGTCCAACACGTGACGCTGGAATCGCTCTAATAAAGGTATTTCCTTATTTTGCAGGTGGTCTCAGCGCTATGCCAGTGGGACAAATTGATAGTGATGTGCGTGTTATTATCATAAAAGGCCCAGGAAACACCATTACAATTGGCAACTTCTTACAAAAATTTAGACACCTTGAAGTGCTGCGCATTACCGACTCCCAAATACCATCAATGGGCTCCGAATGCTTCTGGGGTTTAATCAAACTACGTATACTAGGTGAGTAGTATTAAAAAAAACTTAAAATCAAGAAAAATTAAATCGAACAATGGTGGAGAAGAAAATATATTTTTCAAGTCTATTTTGCACGTTACCGAAGATTTTGCAACCGGAAAATTTTATTACCAAAAAATGTTACCAGTTCTTGTCACCAAGATTCTAGGTACCTTCGTTGTGCAGTTAAAGTATTCAGCAATTCAGCTACGAAGATTTCTGGAAAGTTTACTGGTTATAAGAGTACACAGAATGCGAAAAGGGCTTAAACATTTACAGGAACTTTATTTACCGGTAATAAAAGTTTTTAACCGGTAAATAAAGTTCCTGTCAAATTTGTGCTCTTGTAACCGGTAAATTTTGTTACCAACTCATAAGCTGGTAACAAAGTATTGCTCCGTGAAATATGCAATGCCAGAATTTCCACAATTCTCCATAGCTGAATTGCAGAATATTTTAACTGCAATACCAACGCACCTAGAATCGAGGTGACAAGAACTGGTACCATTTTTTGGTAATCAAATTTCCCGGTTACAAAATCTTCGGTAACGTGCAGAATAGACCTGTTAATGGCAACTCATTGAATGTTAAAATTTAAATAAAAGCAAAGACTACAATTTGGATACACTTTTTCAACAACAATCCATAAAAGATAGGTGAATGAAAACAAAATCAATTTGTTAACCGGTAAACCGACAATAAACTAATTTTACCCAGACAAACTATTTTTTATAAATAAAAAGAGTTTTATGAATTTGTTTATATTTATTCACAGACAACACAATCTTAAATATGACGGAAAAGAATAAAAATACAAATTTGCTCCATGTGGAAAAATTGTCAACTTTTAGGGACCCTACCCTCTTACAAAAAAAAATTAGTCGTAATTTTTTCTTAAAATGACCTTTTTTGGAAAAAATTACAAAATTATTGCTAAAGAAATTTATATTTTTCATAAAATACGAGTAATAAACTTTATTTTGATATACATACGTATTTTACTATGATCTGCTTTTGACTTTTAATAATTTAGTGATAATAATAAATATAAATGTATTTACCAGGACTGCAAACCACCCCAGAAATCGGTGAGGTTCGGTCCAGTGGTTCGAACCGCCTATACCGGTACAAGAACCGGTTCGTGCGTATCCCTGAACCGCGATTCAGTTCGGTTCTAATGGTTAAATTTTTTTAGGCTGAATTATGCAAATATTGCAAAAATATGGCAAATCTATAATATAAATAAATAAAATATAAAAATAAAACTTTTTAATATACCACGCTTTTATAAATGGTCCAAAAAGTTGAAAACAGGGTTCGTATTTGCACACACATGCGCAGCACATCCTACCATTTTACGCTCACACACGTGTGCTGTGCATATAAAAAATTAAAAACTTGCTCACATCACATGTGTGTGCTGTTTGGTAAAAAGCACGGGCACATGTGTGTACTTTATTTTTATACCTTTCATGAGCATGAAATGGTATTATAACTTTGGTCCGATGTTTGTAAGTACCAGAACAAAAAGAGATAGACCCATGAAAATGTATACTTATATGATCAGAACGTCGAGCTGAGTTGATTTAGCCATGTCCGTCTGTCCGTCTGTCTGTCTGTTTGTATGCAATCTAGTCTCTCAGTTTTCGAGACATCCGGATCAAATTTGGTAGGTGGGTGTATTTTTATAATGTATTAATCATTTGTCGGAACCGGAAGAATCGGACCACTATAACATATAGCTCCCATACAACTGATTGTTCACATATGAGATTTTTCATTATAACTTCTCCATTTATGCAGCTACGAACATGAAATTTTGCAATACTTGCACCCATTATCAACAGAATACTTACAGTGAAAATTACAAAGATCGGGTCACTATAACCTATAGCCCCCATACAACTGATTGTTCAGATATAAAATTTTCCGTTATAACTCCTCCATTTATATAGCTAGGAACATGAAATTCCGCACTGTTTTCAATAATTATCAACAGAAAACTTACAGTGAAAATTAAAAATATCGGGTAACTATAACCTATAGCTCCCATACAACTGATTGTTCAGATATGAGATTTTTCGTTATAATTCATCCATTTATGTAGCTAGGACCATAAAATTTCGCGCTGTTTTCACTCATTATCAACAGAAGACTTACAGCGAAAATAACAAAGATCGGGTCACTATAACCTGCAGGCCCCATACAACTGATTGTTCAGATATGAGGTCTTTTATCATAACTCCTCCATTTATGCAGCTAGGAACATGAAATTTCGCACCATTTTCACTCATTATCAACAGAATTCTTACAGTGAAAATAACAAGGATCGGATGACTACAACATATATCTTCCATACATCTGATTGTTCAGATATGGGATTTTACTGTAAAACTCCTTTATTTGAACAGCTAAAACCGATAAATTTCGTAAGATATTTTATAAATAATAATACAAAGTCTACTGAGAAAATCGTCAAAATCTATGCTGTATAAGCTTTATCTCCTATAGCACTGATTGTTAAGATACCAGTTTTTGCCATATATCTCCTTTATGTACGAAACTAAACCCGATAAATTGTGTTACCGGTTTACATACCGATCACATAGCGGTGAAAATCACTTAGATTGGTGTCATATAAAGTATATCTTCCATACCTCTGATTGTTTAGATGCGATTTTTTATATAAGTATGTAACTCCTCTATCGATGTATGCAGATGTATTCAAAAGCAGTAATCTGTCAAAATAAAATTTGCAGATGTTCATGAAAGGTATGAAGCCTTCGGCATAGCCGAAGACAGCGCTGCTCTTACTTGTTATTAATATAAAGCACACGCACATGTGTGTGCTTTGCGTAGAGAAACTTATACACTTCGATTTCTATCTCAAATCTTAAAATAATTTTTTAATATGTTTTCTGTCATATAAAAAACAAACAACACCTCACTTGTTATTGAATTGTCTTTCAAAAAATAACGTTTAATAAACAAATTCTTTTAAAAATATATTATGTGCATGTGCATGGGCTGAAATTTGTACAAAAATCGGCTCACACACATGTGCATGTGCTTAATAACAAACAGCACACACTTTTCTGTGAGCAGAGTTTGTTTTCCACTTATGCACGCACATGTGTATGAGCAGTGAGTACAAGTTGAATGTGTTTCAGGCGTGTGTGTGAGCAGAGCATGTGTGTGCAAATACGAACCCTGGTTGGAAATGATCATTCTCAGTCCTCATTCTCAGTTTTATCCAAATAGCAAACTGCGCAGACATCCCAGGATTTCAGGCCGAGGTGTTGATATCCTCTGCATATGTCAGGAGCACCGCGCCTTTTCTATATGGTGTCACGTTCACTGCTAGTTCACGTTCTATCCTTTTTCAATGTTAGCGACTGGTATTTTTAACATGGCGATGTCCTACGAGATGTCAATTGTCAGGCTATGCATCAGCATCTACTAGTAGCATCATACCTGTTGATGAGATCGTGTGCCAGTGAAAAGCATAAGTATGCCATTTTGCTCGCGGACAGGGTTCGGAAATATTCACGCGAATGTTAGGTAGAATAAATATTATCAAAAAAAAAAGTTTTTGATATACAACGTTTTTATAAATGGACTAAAATGTGGAAAATATTTCTCAGTCCCATAGAATTTGTTTTGATAACTTTTGATTTTGAAATTTTAGCAAAAGTTGTTATAAACCATTTATGAGATTCAAAATGAAAAGCGTGGGGCGCATGTAATAGACCTGAATTTATATGAAGGGTGATATATGTATGTATGTATGTGGATATATGAATAACGACTGCTTAAAATCGAACTCAAATTTGTACTTTCTCTGTAGAAATTTTAATTCTATGTTGTGTATTTAGTTTGACTATTGTCAATTAAATCTAATGCTTTGTATTGCATGCGCCCCACGCTTTTTATCATCAATCTCATAAATGGTTTGTAATAAGTTTTTCTAAAATTTCAAAATGAAAATTTATCAAAACAAATTCTATGGGACTGAGAATTATTATTTCCTAATTTTTAGTCCATTTATAAAAGCGTTGTATGTATATTAAAAAGTTTTTTTTTATATTATTTAATTCCTACTTTTTAGTCTTGTCTGTATAAAAGTTTGCAATAGATATTAAAATAATTCAACGATATTAATAGATTGGTGCACACACGTGCATATACATATGTATGTACATCAATGCTGGGCACACCAACACAGTCTCACTTTGACGTGGTATTGTGCGTCGCGCTCAGTTATGGTTGCCACATTTTTTATAAATGTACTAAAAGTGGTATTTTTTGTGCATGGGTATTTTGGTCTATTTTGCCTATACGTATAGTGGAATAATGAATCTTGGAAGTTTTAGTAACTAATACTATTAGTTTATAGAAACTTTTGCATACGAAAAATTTAGTACATATAAAATTTAAAAAATATTTAAATTGGTAAAATTCATTTGTTTAATAACTGGGCACCGTTTTGTTAGAATCAAATCTTTGAAATGCCAGCCGGCAAGATGGTTACGGTGCTTAGATTTTATTATTTTCATATAAATAGGTATTTAGTCCTAAAAATAGAGTATCTATATTAATAAAAATGTTGTGGTCGTATGTCACGGTCGTCAAAACTCGAGAACGGCTGAACCAATTTGAATAGTTTTCTTTTTGTATTGTTCAGTATAATACCAGAACCAATGATATGTCAAAAAATTGGAGGGTTGCCACCTATTTGAAAATTTTAACTCAGTCAAATTTATAAAATAAATGAAATATTGCCATGTGGGTGTCAAACTAAAGAGTTTTAAGAAGGCTTACAGCTGAAAATATGTTTTAGGAGGGTTGCCGCCTGTTTGAAAATTTAACTAAATTACATTGATAAAATAAGTGAAATACTACAATATGGGTATAAAATTAAAGAGGTTTAAGAATGATAACTGTTAGAAATATTTTTGACGAGGGTTGCCACCTACTTGAAAATTTTAAATCAGTCAAATTGAAAAAATAAATG